ACAAGATTTGTTTACATGGATTTCCCTCAGTTTTCCTAGAAACTAGAATGAATGATACTTTCATTCTAGTTTAGGGAGGACTTATTTCCCATACAAATTTAATCTTCTGCTTTTAAGAAACAGAATGAGAGTCAGAGTGTTATTTTTGCACCTGATATTTTTCAAGTGCCTTTAACTCATAATAGTCACTGTGCCAGAGGGGCATAGTTCTTAGCTCCTTTAGAATCTCTCTCTTCTCATATAAAGTATAATTTACTTATATAACCTACTTATTCATTTTGTGTTTTCTGTGTTGCCTCCTCCTCTCTTCGTTCGACTACAAACCTCTTAAGAACATGGGTTTTTTTGTACTTTTGTAACTGTGTTCCTGTATTCTAGAATCCCAGTGTCTAGAACAGTAGCTGGGGAGAGAAGTGGGCACAGGGTAGACGTTACATAAACATTTACCGTAATGGACCCTGTATCCGAGGTTTTACTTTCTGTGGTTTCAATTACCCACAGTCAACTGAGGTCTGAAAATAGATGAGTAAGGTATAATTAAGTATTTTGAGAGACAGGGAGATCACATTCACATAACTTTTATTACTGTATATAGATTGTTATAATTATTTTATTAGTTATTATTAATCTCTTAAATATTTAATTCATAAATAAAGTTTTATCACAGGTGTGTATGTGTAGGAAAAAACACTGTGTTTAAAGAGTTTAGCACTATCCAAGTTTTCAGGCATTCACTGTGGTCTTGGAACATAACCCCTGTAAATAAGTGGGGGCTACTGTATTAAATTCATGGATCTCTTAACCCCCTGTGCAACCAGACCTCACTCCCAGCGTTTGTGTTCCACATCTAGAGGTCTTTCTTCTTGATTTTTTTCCTTCTAGTCGCTTTTTCAAATCCACCTCCAAAAGATGTTTTTCATGTTTTTTTTTTCCCCCTGAATTGCACTCTCAAAGCAGAAAGACTTACCCATTTATCAGCGGGTGCACATATTTTTATTTTCTGGATTTGAGACAAGCTCCCAAGTTCCAGTGACTGTTTAAGGCAGGATGTACACAGATTTCCCTATCTTTTTCAGTTTTCTCCCTCTTGCCACTTCCCAGTGTGGAAAGGCTCTCTCCTCCTTTTGGTATTCTTATCAGTGCAGTAGAAAAAGAAAGACAAAGAAGAGAGAAGGAATCATGTCAAGCACATTTTTACATTCTTGCACCAGAATTTCCACTTTCATTAAATGCTTGAGGAAGGCTGTGAGTCCTTTTTCCAGAGGAAAAATTCTTGGAAAAAGACTTTGAAAAAGTCTGAAAAAGTCTCTGAAAAAAGTCTTGTTCATTCTCTGGCAACACAGGATTAAATCCTGGTCAGAGAGAGAGGAGGAAGCTTTTTCCTGTTCTTAGAATCAAGAAAAAAAGTGGGTAATGTATTTCTCAAGTATCACTGTATTAATTCTAAAAGGTTACCCTTCTTTTGAGGTTATATCCTTTCTCTGGTTTATGAAAGGCTGCTTAGTGCAAATAGTGGTTTTTGCCATTAACAAGACAGAACATGGTTTTGCATGACATTAGGGCATTGACTCTTTTTAGTCTAATAAATCTCAAAGTCTGGGAACCAGTGCTCAATCCCCGTGTTTTTTTATACAATTTGGAATCTACAGCTGACTAGAGGAAACCAGAATCAAACAGAACTAAGGAAGAAGCTGGGGACAGGGAGAGGTAATTATTACTAGCTTTTATAGACTTTGCTTTGACCTAGAAACACACTTATGGCCTCCATGTGATTTGAAGAAATCTCATCTGGATGGAGTCAAATGTCTTATGTTTCATCACGCTGTAAGCAATTGGAAATTACTTTTCCTTAATCCTAAATTATTATTAAATCCAGGCACACAAAATGATATTTAGGAACACAAAATGTGTTTTTATGTATTTTGCACTGCTGTGTTCCCTGTCCTTTCCTGTTTGCACACACACACTGTAACCAGTTAGGCTATTTTAATTACCTTCATATTTTTGCTTTGCAATATAAAACTCAATATTAGTTACTCTCATCCTTTTGATGGCAACACATCCAAAACAAATAAGTTAAGACGGAGAAGGAGGGGAAGATTGAGAACCAGTAATATAGGCTTCAGCAGCAGCCAAAACTCCTCAGTACACATGGACTTGGGCTAGAAGGTAAATGTGAAGAGATTTTGACCTAGTGCTAAATGAGGAGGAAGAAGTAACAAGTTTCCTATGGTGAGAGCCACTGGGGCCTGGTGTTAGTCTGAGACTATAGTTTCAGAAAGCTTGGCTTATAGATCAGAATTCCTTTTTTTTCTTTTCCAAGGCCATCTTTGAATTGAGTGTAAGCCTACAAAACTGAAACGCAGGTGCTTAAAATCCAAATTTGGGGTGAACTTGACAGCTCCAAAGTACTGGATGGCTATATTTCAATTTTGACTTTCTAGTCTTTCTTCACTCTGTCACTTATTCTGAGGCTTTTGAGAATGTCTCCTTCCTTTTTAAGGAGAGAAGGAAAAAAGAAAAGCATTCAAATAACCCGGAGAATGGGTGATTTTTATTTTTCTTGGAAATGGGTAATTTGGAGTTTTCAGGCCTTCAAAACAAACCGAAACGAACCACGAAGGGATTTCTGATCTGAAGTCAGAGGCCATATTCATTAGGCCACATGGCCATAGGAATACCCCCGCCTTGCTGTAATACTTAGAAAATAGAAAGAGCTTCCCCTTCTTCCCGTGTTGGCATCTGCAGCGCCCGTGTCTTCACTATTGAGAAAATGGAAACTTTAGATTTCGTGGGATATTTGGGGCCACAGAATTGGGATTTAAAAACCGATGGGATGGATAATTATTTCAGTCTTGTGGTAATATGACTACTCCATGGAGAGAAAAGTCGTTTGCTCTATGACTCCCAAGGCAGAAGTGGAGTTTGTGGCAACTAAAAGATGTTAAAATTGTTCATATTGTCTGTATAGAGGAATATTTTAAAATAAGCTTACTCAGGGTTTCTTCCCTATGATGCTCAACCACATTCACTGCTTAGAGACTCTAGGCTCATGCAGTGTCTGCCCAGACAGTTGTTAAGAAAACCGCACTTGAAAGGCAGTTTTATCACAAGGCAAGAGCTGCACAATGGAAATGTGCAGACGCCGGAGACAGAAGACAATTATTCCTTCCCCATACCGTGCCGGCAGTTTCTCTGATTGTGATAATGTGGTATCAGAGCACTTTTTGTAGTACATTACTGTTTAGAAAGGAAATACTTTCTTTGGGGTTTCTCAGGAGTGCAAAGCAGTCTAGAGCCATTATCATTTTTTGAGATCCACACATATTATGAAGTGAAGGAACACAAAAGAGAAATGCAAAAAATTTTATTATTTATTTTATTATGATAGATAAATCAACACAAAAATGTAATGGATTAGCATCATACTATGGAGAAGATATTTGTAGAATTTATAATGTTCCATAGAGCTCTAGGCCCCACAATGGCATATAAATATAAAGTTCTATTTTGGGTGGCTTCTTTCAAGCCTGTCAGTGAATTTCTGTGAACTCAAGCACTTCATTTGAAGATAATGTCAACAGTCTACACATAAGGCATTGCCTTAATTTTTCTAAACTCTGGAGACTGGAAATAATGGCTCTCCTGGCTCATTGCGATAAGTCTTGGTTTCTTGATTAGCACGACCACTTTGGCAACAAAAGAAATTTGTTCTATTTAGAGATGAAATATTGGTTAATCACAGTTGGGTGTCCATGAAAATAAACCCTGTACATGCAGAGATCATAATCAGTTTCACATTATTTTCTGGAAATACTTGTAATTCTGGAATTAAAAAAAAAACTTGACTCCATTTCTCTTTTCTTATCTTAGCGTTTAAGCTACAAAGTGTAACTTAAAAAAACACCCCTCAGAAAAACACATATGAAGACCTAGCAGAGGATGGTTTCGATCCATCGACCTCTGGGTTATGGGCCCAGCACGCTTCCGCTGCGCCACTCTGCTGCTCCCTAGCAGGGTGCTTCAAACAGTCCCTTTAACTACTTTCAGGCAATGTGCTCACACTCTCACAATTTTAAAAAAGTCCACAGGCAGTTACTTATTTAACACTTTGGCTACCACAGGTTGCCAATTTATTTTGGAAAAAGGCGGCTACCAGAATCAAACAGAAAACAAAATTAGGGATGGAAAAGTAAACATCAGTACACTGTGGGCCAGGCGGGATAGCTCACACTTGCAGTTCCTGCACTTTGGGACACCAAAGCCAGCAACAGTGAGACTGTCTCAATAAAAAAACAAAAAACAAAGCAAAACAGCAACAAAAAACATCCTGAAACCCACACACTGAAGAATTAGTGGGTGCAGATGTGAAGGGCAGCTAGCTATTTCAATGGCAATTACAAATTTTAATAAGCAGCGAAAGCTGGGAATACAATCAATCAGGCCTCTGCGCAGAGGGTGATAATTCTACCACGAATCAAGAAGCAGCCATGTTTTCGCCATCGGGAAGAAAACTCTTTTGGTTATATTTCCCTTGTGGAGAGGATGAAATCTGGCACTTTTCAAACACTTCCGAAGGGGATTTCGGTCCGCATGTGTTTTACAGCAGGCAGCAGAAACGTCAGTCACTGTGACCTTGGGGACTAAGCTGGACTCCTCAGGCTTCCGGTCATTTGGACCGAGGCTCCTCTCTAATCGTCCTAAAGCAACTTAAGCAACTACTAATAATAAACATGTTAATTTCGTTATTAAAACAGCCTTGAAATTCCTATTTGGGAACGCAGGAGGCGCCTCCTCAGAAAAGGCGCTCGAATGCCACAGACTGGCGTCATTGGTGACGTCACAAAGGGCTGGGCTATGTGGGGTGGGGCCAAGAGGCAGGCCCAAAGTTCCCGTATGAGCGCTTCAGGCCTCAATTAGGTCCGCATTCCCTGCATATAAAGGCGTTGCTTTGCTCCGGCCTTTAGGTCTCTGAAGCTGGTGTTGAGAGCTGTGTAGTCATGTCTGGTCGTGGTAAAGGGGGAAAAGGCTTAGGTAAAGGAGGCGCCAAGCGTCACCGCAAAGTCTTGCGAGACAATATCCAGGGTATCACGAAGCCAGCCATCCGGCGCCTTGCTCGCCGCGGGGGCGTGAAGCGCATTTCTGGCCTCATCTATGAGGAGACCCGCGGCGTTCTGAAGGTGTTTCTGGAGAACGTGATCCGTGATGCGGTCACTTACACGGAGCACGCCAAGCGCAAGACCGTGACCGCGATGGACGTGGTCTACGCGCTCAAGCGGCAGGGACGCACTCTGTACGGCTTTGGCGGCTAAGGCTTCCTTTTGCTGTATTAAGTAACTCCGTATTTCAACCAAAGGCCCTTTTCAGGGCCGCCCACGTTTTCCGTAAAAGAGCGGACATGTGGAACCTGTCCTGTTTCGTTTCAGGTTTTTGTTGAAAAGTAGTCGTTTCACACGTGTAGATTGCAGGTTAACGTTTTACTTTCCAAGATTGACCTCGCATGTTTGATTAGTTCATATAAAGTATCCAGGGTCATTGTCTTCTGTTTTAAGGTAGTCGGTATGTTGTAGATGTTTAGCCTTTTACACTTTTTTTTTCCAACGCGGCGCTGCAGGGATCTTTTACACTTTAGAGCTGAAGATGGCATCGAGTAAGCTGAATTAGCACGGCTTATACTCCGTGTGGCTTCCCCTTTAAGCTTGAAGTGATCATAACGTTCTCAAGGAGCAGAGAAGTCGCAGTGAACTCCAGGAGACTCCGTTACCGTTTTCAAAATGGCGGGGAGGGCGAGGAACAAAGAAAGCCCGCGCCTAGGCGGCGGGCCCGGAAACAAAGGTGAATCCGCCGGCGGAACAGATCCTCTGCCTGGTCGGGATCGCAGACCGAAGTCCAGGCGGCGTGTACGCTGCTGCTTTTGACTGGGTGACAACTTTCGTCAACAAAGGCAGTGTGGGGTAACAACGTAAGGAATTTCACATAAACAGTGTGCTTCTGAACGTTATTAAGTCATTAAAAGTTACAGGATCGCTAAGTGAGCAATATGGAAACCACCAAAACTTAATTCTTAAACAGCGATGATAGCCTTTTAAAGTATAGATTCAGGCGAAGGGCGGTGCTTCACACCTGTAATCCCAGCACTATGGGAGGCCTAGGTGGGCGGATCACCTGTGGTCGGGAGTTCAAGACCAGCGTGACCAACAGGGAGAAACCCTTTCTCAACTAAAAATATGAAAAAATAAGCCGGTCGTGGGTGGGGCATGCCTGTACTCCCAGCTACTCGGGAGGCTGACATAAGAAAATCGCTTGAACCTGGGAGGTGCAGGTTGCAGTCAGCCGAGATCTCGCCATTCCACTTCGGCCTGACCGGAGTTAACAAGAGCGGAAACTCCCTCTTAAAAAAAAAAAAAAAAAAAAAAAAAAGCATACATTCAGGCATCAGGACAATGATTTGCCAGAGACCAAACCTATAGATTTGGAATGGCTTTTCTAATGGGATCATTTTACTTGGCTTCTATACTCTGCCCTGTAAAGTAGAAGTTACTTTTTATACACTTAATTGAAATCAGGTTAATATGCTTGTGAGGAACAGTTTATATGTACATAATGGTACAGCACATCAGAGACATGTCTGGTTATCTACGTTGAATATAATGGGACAATTGCTGGTTTAGGAAGATAGTTTCACTGTAAAATGAGATTTTTCCTCCTTGTATTCAGCAAGCAAATTGTAGGATTATAACTTTGAAATCATGAGAATCAATGGAGTTACCAAAGAGTCTCATCTTTTTGAAAGAAATGGATTTGTGCATTAATATGAAAAGAACCGTGTTATTGGAGCTAAGGCGCTGGTTTGTATTTGGATAAACATTTAACAACAAAATAATTGACCGCATATGCCAGGCACTCTTCACTGCTCTGAGAATTATAGCAGTGAATGACAGTGAATAAAACAGTATTTCTGTATGTAGGCAGTCCATTGGGTATGCACTTACACACAAAGTATGTGAAATTGTATCAGATGGTGCTAAGAGCTATCATTGAAATAGGCCTAAAGATGTATGGAAGGAGGAGGTGATATTTATTTTTTGAGATAGGGTCTTGCTCTGTTGCCCAGGCTGGAGTGCAGTGGCAACCACTCCACCTCCACCTTGCTTGGGTTCAAGCAATTTTCGTGTTTCAGCCTCCCAAGTAGCTGGGATTACAAGATTGTGCCACCAGGCTCAGCTAACTTTTGTATTTTTAGTACAGATGGGGTTAGGCTGATCCTGAACTCCTGGCCTCCCAAAGTGCTGGCATTACAGGCATGAGCCATTGTGCCCAGCTGAGAAGGTGATTTTTTTTTTTTCTTTTTCTTTATTAAAAGTAATGGCAAGAACCGTAATTAATTAGAGAAGGTGGTATTTTAAATGATAGAGTCATGGAAAGCTTTACTGTTAAAGCGATGATTGGAGAAAAGAAGACATTGAGAGAATATTCCGAATAGAATACCAAGTAGCAAAGCCTGGAGATAGCAGAGTTATTGTGGCTGGGCAGAAGGGCAGAAGGAGTGCAGAGGAAAGGAGATGAGTTCTGAAAGGCGAATGGAGGTGAGCAGTTCCTGTATGGCTCTGCAGCCAGTGTAACTACTTAGGCTTTTATGCCTAGGGAGGTGGGAGCCACTTAGAGTTTTGAGCAGAGGACTGACATGATCTGATTTATATCTTAAAATGAGCTGCCTGGATGCCTGTTGAAGAGTAAATGTGATGGAGTCTGGGTAGGAGGAGCACAGAGACCAGTTAGAAGGGTACTAAAATCAGTTGAGATGGCAGTGGCTTGGACTTGTGTATTAGTGGTAGAGGCTGTGAAGAGTGGTTGGATTCTTAAAATATTGTGAAAAAGGTTTATAGTTTTTTTCTGAGCTACTGAAGGTGTAGCATATGAGAGAAAGAAAATTTATGCATGGTTACAATGATTTTTATTGACAGCTGTTGAAATGGAGGTGTCAGTTGCTAAAATGGGGAAGAATACTGAACAATCAAGTTTTGGAAAGAATTCCACATCTTACTTTTGGACATCCAAAGAGTTTGTGAGATGCTTATTACACATATCTAAGAGGAGGATACGAAGTAAGAAGTTTGATTTGTAAATCTCGAGTTCAGAAAAGAGGTCTGGGTGGGAAACATAATAATAGAAAGTTGTCAGAGTATGACTCCTGTGAGAGTAAGAAAGCCACAAGGTGAAATGACATCTCTTAGAAAAGAGGGTTGAGAATGAAGAGAAGCAGTGCAAGGGAGCTCTGGGTTAGAGAAGGAATGTTTGCTTTGTACTTAAGACATCTGGATTCCTAACTTAAAGTGTTACAAGTGCTTTCTTTAGTAATTCTCTGTTTTAGTAATTTTCAAAACAAACAGAAAAAGTTTTCCCTATTTTACAAATAGGGAATAATGCCCTAGGTAATCAGAGTGTGCAATAATACTGTAAGTCTCATTCAAATAGCCTATTAAAAGTTAGAGCCATGAAGAGATCACTTAGGAGATCCAGTGATAGTCACACCATTTTCAAAATGTGCCCATTCTCCCACATATTTTGCTTGCAATTCCAGGAGTTTTCAGGCCTCCTGTAGCCTATTTGTGGAACTCAGCTTCTCAGCTATATATTTGATTCTTTTATTTTTCCCTTAGCTCTGTGGCTCCTGATGGATCTGAAAAGATGTACGTGGAGAATGAAAATCTGATTCTTTTTTTTTTTTTTGAGACGGAGTTTCGCTCTTGTTACCCAGGCTGGAGTGCAATGGCGCGATCTCGGCTCACCGCAACCTCCGCCTCCTGGGTTCAGGCAATTCTCCTGCCTCAGCCTCCTGAGTAGCTGGGATTACAGGCACGTGCCACCATGCCCAGCTAATTTTTTGTATTTTTAGTAGACACGGGGTTTCACCGTGTTGACCAGGATGGTCTCGATCTCTTGACCTCATGATCCACCCGCCTCGGCCTCGCAAAGTGCTGGGATTACAGGCTTGAGCCACCGCGCCCGGCCGAAAATCTGATTCTTTTGAACTGATGTTTGTTGCTGTGGAGATGCTGCCTATATGTTAATGTTGTGGATGTTATGTCACCAGCTCACAGCATTGCCCTTCATACTCAGAGACCCTGCTACTTACTTGACATCTCAATTTGAAAGTCCAGTTAATATGTACTTCCAACTCAAATAGGCTTCAAACAGAATTTCTTTCATTGTTGCTGCAATAGAGCGCCTCCCATCATCTTGAAATTAGTGAATGGCATTTTACTCTTTTAGTTGGAGTGATTTCTGTCTTTTTCTTTCCCATCCTGCATAAGAATCCATCAGTAAGTTCTATGAGGTCTTCTTGAAAACATAAACAGAATCGAACCGTTTCGCATTCCCTCTTCTGCTCTGGTCAAGCCATTGCCAACACTCACCTTCATTGTTGTGGCACCCTCAGTGCCTACTTCTGTCCCACAGATTTCCAATACAGGGTGAATAAAATCAGGTCACTCTTCTGCTGAAAACCTTCCAATGGCTCTCATTTCACTAAAAGGAAAACCCAAAGTCCCTTCAATACCTTGCAAGGCCCCACTCTCTGGCTCTTGTTACCTCTTTGGCCTCAAATCTCACTACTCCTTTCCTTCCTCATCCAGCTCCGCTAGCCTCTCGAACTTGCTGGAAGTATGCATCTCTTTCAGGCACTGTATATATACTGACATTTCCCTTTGTGTGGGCAACTCAGCTTCCAGATCTAAGTGTTGCTCCCTTGCTTCCTTCAGGGATATATTCAAATAACACCCGCTGTATGAAGCTGGTTGTGACCACACTGGCATTACAACCCCGCTCCCTCCCCCACAGCCTTCCCACTATATTTGTCCCTGCTCCTAAGGACCCTGCAGTCTATTTGGAGAGTGAAACACAGGCTTATGGAAAGGAAAGCTGGAATGGAATAGTAAATGGAATGTCAGAGTGGTGTAATTCGAGTCAGTATTGGAAGTGATAGTTCCTGGCTTGGAGCCAGGTTTTGGAGGCCTGTCAGGCCTAGGACAGGAATGTGGACTTTATTCTAGACAACAGGGAATAAAACAGGGATACAAAATCCTCCTTCCCCACTTTGGTTCTGATCATGTCACAATTGTAGCCTCTTTCAAAAAACCGGTTCTTGCACCAGGCATATTAGACTCAAATTAAGTGTTTCTTTTAAGTGCCTAGGTGAATATAAATGAAATATAAATCTGATTTGCAGATTTATATTTGCAAGACATACATAACATGTACACGAGATTCCTTAGTGTACATGTTATGTATGTCCTTTTCCTGGCAGAAAAGG